CCTATAGTAATTTATATATAGAACCGCGTCACGTTTCACTATGATCATTCTTCAGTTGACTGGAGAATCGTCAATTATAAAGGCTGAAAATAGGGTGTAGAAGAAGGTTTCAGTTTACAGATAGCCTTAAACTTCAGTAGTGAGAGTATTAAAAACTCACTTATTGTCTTTTTTAGACCAACCATTTTTAACTTTATCAGCAAAAGCAGTACTTTTATTAAAATTTTTTGTTTAAGAGCACCATCTTCTTGCCAGTTATTTTGTATAGAAATGCTTTTAATTTGTATACTAAATATACTAAGAAGTTCAGAAAAAAACCAAAAAAGCCCTTAACCTCAGTAAAAACTATTATTTGTAGTTGTCTTTTCTACTTTCATTTAACAAGTTTCTGTTTTTATTAGACATAAGTTTGATACAAGTAATCATTGAGAAGAGTTTAATAATTTGATTAGTTAAGGGTGTAGTGACTTAGTGAAGTTGGCAAGTTATCACACCCCCAAGCAGCAGGACTAGAGTTCGAATTTTACTAGCAATGAAAATTCAAATTATAAAAAATGCATTTGGAAGACTGTATTCTATTGGATTGTAGAACCTGTAATGGTGGTCGTACCAGCTTATATTAGGAGGTAGTAGAACATGTAGTGTGATGTACAAGTTACACAAAACCCAAGTAAAACTACCAGATAAATTCAGCAAATTTACAGGATACAGAAGCCTGCTTGGCAAGATCTGAGTGGAGAGATAGCACAGATCTTTGATGGTTACTATGTAAAGGGTGATTAACTGGATACTGGAAAATCAGATGGGACTGAGGTGTTTGGCAAAAGCACTATACCAACCAGGCCATGAAGAAAAACAGAGGAAGGGTCTGCCCTTCCGGGCTGTAGGATTGGGAGTTTGGGTTTCCAGAGGTATGGGAGGGAGTCCATAAAGTAGGTACCGGAGTTTGAGTGAACTCTACAAAGGCAGTAGTAGGTAACTGTAGCAGTTTCAGCTCGCAAATACTTGTTCTCAGACTTGGCATAAATTACCGAAAAGGCCTAGTCTAGAAATGTATAGGACATAGAAAGATTAGGGGGTATATACTACACCCTTCCTAAGCTAACCTGGTAAGTATGAGAACCCTACTAGATTATATATAGAATTAGGACACAAGTAGTGTAGCACATGTCGATCTGAGTGGTCTTTAAATGTAGTAGCACAAGGTTATGGGCTGGCGTAATTGTAGGTGATGGTAAATGTACTATATAAATTCCTAATAAAAATTCGCCTGTTCACGACATTGCAAGGGAAAAAAAAAATAAAATAAAATAATTATAATAATTTGATTAGTTAAATTATATAATATAACAATTTTATTAATATTTTTCTATAATTTAAGTTTTTGTAAATAAAATATCTTGTCTAAATAAATATAAAATTAGTTTACCAAGGGTGTAGCGACTTAGTGAAGTTGGTAAGTTATCACACCCCCAAATGGCAGGACAAGAGTTCGAATCCCATTAGAGACAAAATTCGAATTTTACAGAATGTATTACGGCAGACTGTGTATAATCTGATGGATTATCAGATCTGTAGCTTTGGTTGTACCAGCATGTACTGGAAGAATATAGAACTATAGTATGACACAAGAGCTATACAAAACCTGAGTGAAGCTTTGTGTAAATCTAAGGGCTAGGGCATATAGAATCCTGCTTGACAAGTCCCGAGTAAAGAGATAGCACAGATCTTTGATGGCACTACATAAAAGATTATCACCAAAGATCTGAAAACTGGACAGGACCGAGGTGTTCAGCAAGGCACCATACCAAGCAGGCCGTTGGTGTATACCGAGAAGGAGATCCGCCCTTCTGAACTATCTGGATTGGGAGTTTGGGGACCAGTAAAATGGTAGATGGTCTGTAAAGTAGGTGCTGAGGTTTGGATAAACTCTACAAAGGTAGTAGTAGGTAATGGTAGTGGCTTCAGCTTACAAGTACTCGTTTTCAGACTTGGCGTAAGTTACCAAAAGTCTAGATTAGCCAGATTGTAGGTACGGAAAGCTCTAGTAACAATGTCTCGAGGATAAATTAGTTTTAAAGCTATAGTATGCATTCAGAATTCTTGACTGACGAATGTAACGAAGTGTTCTGGTAACACAAGGAGGCAGTGTACATTACAAAAGATTTAAATAGGTAATCCCCTAGTTGGGTTATAGGTATGGCAGCTAATGTAGAACCTATGGTATATAGTTATCTATATGTGGACTACTTAAATAAGCACTCAAAAGGCATACGTGTGGCTAGTTGTACTCTCTAATATAATTGGAGTTCCATTGTGAGCTTCCCGCCCATTATATTTAAATAAAAACTCTATGCCAAAGAGGCTAGTTAATAAAAAAAAATAAAATAAAATTAGTTTACCAAACATATTTATTTAGACAGGTTTAACTATATTTTATAAATATAAATTATAAGTTCAGTAAATTCTTTCTATATCAAACTCTAGATTCTGATCAAAAAAAAGGTCATTATAAGAATTACTATATTTTTTTAAGAGCTGCAGCTCTTGTTATACTGAACTAATATTAAAATTTAAAAATTTTGAGTTCATTATATTCAAAGTTTGTTATAAAAAAGTTTGTTATATCCAGAGTTGACTATATAATTATAAAAATTGTCTAGATAAATTTGTCTAGAAAAGCCTACAATAGTGTTTAAGATACTGATATATAAATATATCTTTTAGAGTATGTCTCTAGAGCATGTCTATAGATATGCTGAAAGATCTAGGCATGTTCTAATTATATAATATACAAGATTTAAAATAATTGCCTAAAGTTATTAATTCTATTAGTATTTAATTATATAATATATATGTATATATATATTAAAGTTATTATTTAGATCTATTGACTTATATAGGTTATATAATTAACAGATCACAGATCGAAAATTACTTTAATCTAGATCAAACAGGTCAAAATTCAAAATATACAAAAATTTATTATAATGCTATTGTATATTATATAATTATTTAATATAAGAAGATATTATTTTTTTTAAAATATTAATAATAAAACTATATTTCTATTATAAGAAGATATTATAAATATATACTATATAAATAGTAAAACTTTTTACTTATATTATTTAATCTATATAGATCAGCTTTTTGACAAGCATATATTTCTAAAGTAAAAAATAAATAAACTCAAATTGTAAAGAATATGACAAAAATCAAGTGATTTTTTAGAGAAAAGAGTAGATAAAAATTTTAAAATTATATATAAAGACGATTAAAATATATAATAAGAGAGAAGAAAGGGTAAGCTTTTGATAAAAAAAATTAAGTAAAAGTTTAAAATTTTTTAATTTAAATATTTAGAGTATAGATTTTAATTATTATAAAATTAAATTAAGCACAACCTTATATTCAACAAATAAAAATATTAAATAAGTATTCAAATTTAATATTATTTAAGTAATTAAAATTTTAAATATTTAATTAATATTAAACTTTATATTTATTAAATATTTAATTTATTAAATATTTATAAATATTTTAAATAAGTATTTGTAATTGCATTTCTAACATACATTATATTTAATAAGTATTTATTAAATATTAAATAAATATTTTATAAATACTTAGCAAATACTTTAACAAACTTCATGATAACAGCTCTAATTAAGAGTTGTTATATTAATTTTTAAGAATTAGCTTTAAAAACTTCATAAATTTTCATTTGACCTATTAATCTAAATTAAATTCTGATTTGCCTAGATTGATATTTTTTAATCTAGTTAAAAACTTTAATATATATATAATTTTTATAATAAATATTATTAATAATAAATTAGTTAATCTAAATTAGTTCAAATTTTTACTATATATATATTATATATTTAAAATTGCTACTTATTACCAGTGGTGATCATCACCAGTATTATAGATATTACGTCATAATAAGTTTTTATTATACAATTACAATATTACGTCATAGTAAGTTTATTAGAAATTCATGTAGCTTCCATATACACGTGATTATATAAGATAATCAATTTTACTTTTTTTACGGTATTGCTAAGACTGTTCTAGAGGCATTGCTTATAACAAGCTTTAGTCTTTCATTACGTTATAACGTGTGTACCTATTTAACAGTTGACTATTTATTGACTACTTTTTTTGAATCACCAACTTATATACGTGCTTGCAGATGACAAGTAATAGCTTTGATGACAATTTTTCTTCTGCAAGTTCTGAATTTGAAGTACATGTGTGAATTGTTTTGTTGTTTAACTATTTATTGGAAACTTTCTTTAAATTACTAATTTATATACAACATTTATATAGATGAACACGGAAACACAAATTACCGTTAATAAAGCTTCTGAAGTCAATGAAATTTTACCTAGTTTTGAAAATTCTGAAGTCGGCAATACTTTTTCTAGCTCTGAGAGTTCCGAGTTCAACAATATTGTTCCTGGTTCAAGTTCTGAAGGTTTAAGGCTGCAACATTTTTCTGCTAGTGGTTTCTGGTTTCCTGGTTCTGGTTCTGAATTGCCTAGTTATGTCTTTAATAAGGAGTTTTCTGGTTCCGCCGGTGGTTTTTGGTTTCCTGGTTCTGGTCCCAGGTTGTCTAATTATGTCTTTGAGGAATTGCCTGATTTTATGAGTTCCAGGTCTATGAATGTTGTGGTTGGCTCTGTGCATTTAGGGTTATCTAGTTTCGAAGATCCTGGGCTTAAAGACGTTGTGAATAATTTTGCGCATTTAGAATTGTCTGGTTCAGATTTCAGGCTTAATAATTCTTTGGCTAATTCTGTACATTCAGGATTGCCTAGCTTGGATTCTGGGCCTAATGATACTTTGACTAATTCCATTAATTTAGAATTATCTGATATGAATTCTGAGTCCTTCGAAGAACTTTTGCTTAGAACAGTTGATAATCATGAAAATAAGACGATTCATCATAGCTCAACAAAGTTAATACTAAAGGTGGGGGACTGTTTTACTGATTGGGATGCTGTACAATGTGCAGTAGATATATATTCAAAGCAACACGGTTTTATAGCCGTTAAGTTTCATAAAGATCTTGATGCAGTAGACAAATCTATCATTCGACATCGTGATTATGTTTGTTGGAAAGCTGGCATGAATAAAGCAAAAAAGTGGAGGACGTGAGCGTATATCGTGATGGTGTTACTATCAAATCGAATTGCTCTTGGTTGGTTCATTTTTATCTTAGAAAATGTTCAGATACTATAAGTATTACTAGCTTGAAAAATAAACACGATCATCTATGTGATCCAGAAACCATCGAATTATCACCAAAACATTCACAGTTTCCACAATCTATGTTGGATAAAATTAGAGACTATATTATTGTTGGTCGGTTAAGTGCCGGACAACAGTATGATCTTCTTACAAAGGAATTTCCTGACCAATACATTAAGGAAAAAAATTTATACAATGCCATTGGCAAATTTAGAGGTGTGAGAATTCATGATCAATCTGATGCGGCTGCAATGTTATCATACCTTCTAAGCAGAGAGATCAAGACGGTGATTATGTAGTTATTCCACGCATAGAAGGTAGATCAAATGAATTAACTGGCATTTTTTGGATGAATAAAGAGCAACACAATGAACTCTGGCCGAAATATCATGATATTGTCATACATGACAACACGGCAAAAACAAATAGATATGAGATGGCTCTTAGCCTATTTGTTAGAATTGATTGTAATTTTAAATCAAGAGTTCTTGCACAAGCTTTTATAAAGTACGAAACACAATCTGATTACGAGTGGATTTTGCATTGCACATTGGAGACAACTAATAATCTATCACCTACGGTTTTGTTTACGGATGGAGATCCAGCAATGAATGCCGCTATTCAGATTACATACCCACAAACAAGACATTTATTATGCATTTATCACATTGGTGAAAACATAAAAAAAAAGCCAAGTCAAAACTTCGTGGTGATATGGTTAATAATTTTATTAATAAATTTTATCATCTGAGAAATAGTCACACTCAAGAAGAATTTGAAGTAAAGTATAATGATATATTGACAAAATATGAGCCCTGCCGCTCTTATCTTGAAAACAAGCTTTACCCCTGCCGTGAGTCCTGGGCAAAGTATGCCACTTCAAAAATGTTTACAGCTGGTGTCGAATCGACACAACGTGTTGAATCTATAAATAGTGTACTCAAAAAACACCTTGATCAGAGTATTCTGTTGAAAGAGTTGGTAAAAACACTTGAACAAGAGTTAGAAAAAGAGTCTCACTATACATGTATTAGAAATTATTATGGATCAAATCCATCAACCGGCCTTCCTTCAACTTATAAAACTATTTTTAAAGATATCGATTCGGTATTAATGAATCACTTGGCACCTACACCACTATCGCTTCAGCGAGCTCAAATGAATCAAGCTTTGTTGTATCAAGGGGCGTTAATTACAAATGAACAAGTAAGCATCAAATCAAAATGTTTATTTTTGCTTAATAAATGCTAATTGATACTAAATTTATGGGTAAGATTAAGGAATACGATATTGAGGCTGATAGTACAATCGAACATCTGTATGATGTGCCTCAAATCCGATTACAAGAGCTTCTATTAGGTGTACCGAATAATGAAGTACAAGAAACTTGGGAGGTTTCCTATATTACAACGAATTCAACATCCAAACCACATTTTGTTGTGATTCTTAAGGATTCGACTTTACTCTGAACATGTATACAAATAATAAGCTTAGGAATACCGTGCCGTCACCAATACCGGGTTTTAATTCAATCTTCTAAAGCAGTTTTTCATATGGGACTTATTCACACACAATGGTTCAATTCAACTCCTACTGAAATAGATAGGCATATTGTAATAGCTCAAGGAACTAAAAGCTTTACATCTATACCATTACACCATATTAATCAGATTTGTTTTGCTAATGTATTTACATTAAGCATAAGAAAGAATATTAATAAAAAGCATCAATTTGGTACTACTATGTCAATAGCTAAGACCAGTGTTCAAATTGCATTGGCGGAAGGTGTTATAGCAGAATTAATTAGAATTCTGACACAATTTATAACGAAATATCACCATAACACTGGTTTGAATATAGAAGAAAATCATCACATACAAGATAAAAACTCCATTGTCGAAATCAGATCAAATAGCCGACCACCTTTAGTTGAACTAGATTCTAATTCTAATTGCAACCTCATTAAAGTTTCTAATCCCGAATATCACAAGCCAAAAGGCCGTCCTCCAAAAGATTAAAGTCATTTATTGAAGAAAGTAAAGAAAGTAATAAACAGCATATTATTCATGAACAAAGAACATGTAGTTACTGTTTGACTAAAGGTTACAATATTTGTGGATGTACTCAGTATAAGGAAAATGTGGCTAAAAATAATCAAAGTTAGAATCACAACTTTGATTCTAGTTATGTCAACATATTTGATAAGTGAATGCTTTATATCGATTCTTAACTTGAATTTCATTAGAATTTTTTATTTTAGCAAATTTGTTTAATCTTGTAATACTTAATGTGACTGCAAAATTGATATATGCTTATTTGTTTTAGAGTTAGAATTTGCTTTATTGAAATTGCTTGAAAATTTTTTATTGACAAATATTGCTAAGATGTTTACGAGAAGACCTTATTATAATGTTAAATATGATGAATCACTAGCTATTCAAATATGTAATAGATCATGTTCTGAATTTGATACGTAAAGCACTTCTGAATGTTATACTAAATTCGCAAATCGATATATGGATTCTAATCTTTTTAATAAACAAACTGCATTTGACATCCGAAATATTCAGTAGTAATGAACTTATAAGGCCAATATGATACGTATACCATCCAAAAGTACAAGTGGTACACTAGTATTTCATTAAAAAAAGCACTGCAGGTAAACTGCTATAAGTCTAGTATCTTCATCCTAAAATTTCGTCTATAATGTGTTCTTTTTAAAAAAATTTTTCGCTATTAGTTTAGGGTTAGGGTTCTACCAGTAGTTTAGGGTTTGATTTAAAGGGTTAGGGGGTTTAGAGGGCTATAGTTATAGTAAAACTTCATGAGAAAAACTTTTCTTAATATGTAAAAGGTACTTCATAAGCAAAATTTTAAACTATAAATGCTTCTGTTTTTTGATTTTTTGTGTGCTTTTTTTACATTTTATATGCATAACCTGAAATCGATTAACTAGTGAATTTTTTTGGACTGATTAAATTCATGATTGCAAAGCATGAAATTTTATTTAAACAATTGAATATATACATAATTTTAAAGAAATCAAGTAGTGTTAAAATTAAAAGAATAATCTAATTAACATTAATCATATGATTGGTGCATCTTAATTTGTTAGTGTCACATGACTCTGGTGATGATCGCCACTGGAGATAAATAGCAAACTCCTTATATATTCAATTATAATATAGTTAAATTTGAATTAGTAGTTCTTAAGAAATCATTTGTTAATAATAGTTAATTTTTTAAAAAATCAACTATTATTAACAAATGATTTTTTAAGAATTATTAATTCAAATTAGCTAAAATTTAATTATATTATAGTTGAATATATAATTTATATATAATAAAAATTTAGGCTGATTTGGATTAATAGATATCAAAAAACTAATATTAAAGTTTAAAGAAATTTAAAGAATTTTTATTATATATTGTTAGTAATCACTAGTAATAATACTTAACAGAAGAGTTTCATATCAATTGTAATCTAGGGTATTACTATTAATATATAGCATCTTTAAAATTTTTACTAATGATGTATATCTCTGCTAAAGAGTATCTTAATAAAAAAAATACTAAATTTAAATTAAATTTTACAAAATTAAATTCAAATTTTATATTTAATTTTAGATTGAATTTTATAGCAAAATTAATTATTTAATTTAAAAATTAAAGCGAATCTATTTGTCACCGGCAGTGACAGTCACCTGATCACGTGCAGCCAATCAAAATGCACATAACAAAAAAATGTATTTCCCAGAAATTTTAATCCGAATCCAATCAAAATTATTAAAAAAAAAAAAAATTTATATCATTTTTTATTAAAAAATTACATTAAAAAAAAATATATTATATTATCAAAAAAAAAATTACATTAAAAAAAAAAAAAAATCCAACCACTAAATCTTTACCATAATCGCAAACTAACATAAACTCCAATCGTGTAAAAAACGTTTCAACAATGTAACGCAACCAATTTCAAGCCAAAATGCTAACAAGCTTCAAGAACAACATAACGAAAGTTCAAACGACGATGCCGAAAGGACGAGACCCGCCAACAAAAACTTCAATGACGATGTCAGCACCAAAAAACGACGACAACAAGGAGGCAAAACCGCACCAGGAAAATTCAACAAATTATAGCCATGAAGGCTCTTACAAGACTCCGGTTCTAATCGACGTTCCAATGAAACTAAACCTACAAAAGAGAAAAACAATTAGTTTAAGCTGATAAGAAAAAAAAAAGCAGACAACGAAAAAAAAACCCCAACGGTACTTATCTTGGTTCTAATCTCCATTATCCGACATTTCAACGAAGCTAAACCTGCAAAAGAAAAAGAATTAGTTCAAGCCAACAAGAAAAGAAAAAAAAAATAAACGAAAAAAAACCCCAGCAATACTTATCTTACAAGATTCCGTGTTCTAATCTTGTTTCAACGAAGCTAAACCTACAAAAAAAAAAAGAATTAGTTCAAGCCGACAAGAAAAAAAAAAAGAAACAACAATAAAAAAAACCCTCAACAGTACTTATCTTACAAGAGTCCGGTTCTAATTTCCATTATCCAACGTTTTAACAAAGCTAAACCTACAAAAGAGAAAAAGAATTAGTTCAAGTCGACAAGAAGAAAAAAAAAAAAGCGAACAACAAAAAAACCCAACAGTACTTACAAGATCCCAGTTCTAATCTCCATTATCTGACGTTTCAACGAAGCTAAACCTACAATAGAGAAAAAGAATTAGTTCAAGCCAACAAGAAGAAAAAAAAAAAGTGAACAACAAAAAAACCCAACAGTACTTACAAGATCCCAGTTCTAATCTCCACTATTCGACTTATCAACGAAGCTAGACCTACATAAGAGAAAAAGAATTAGTTCAGCAAGAAAGCAACCAACAAAAAAAAACCCACAGTACTTAACTTACAAATCCTGGTTCTAAACTCCATTAACTACTACTCTAGCAAAGCTAAACTTGCAAAAAAAGAGTTAGTATTAATTCAAGAAAAAAAAAACCCAGCAGCGAAAGAAAAACTACCTACCTTATCCCGGTCCTAATCTCTACTAACTGGTCAACGAAGCTAAAATGCAAAAAAAAAAAATTAGTACAGTACAAGAATGAATTTAATCTGAAAAAAGAAATTACTTGCAAATTTCCGGTTTTAAAGATCTAATAATGAAAAAAAAAAGCTAATTAAAAAAAAAAGCTAAACAAAAAAAAGCTAAACAAACAAAAAACTAAACGAAACGAAACAAAAAAAAAGCCAAAAAAACTAGACAAAACGAAACAAAAAAAAAAAAAACTAAATGAACAAACAAAAAAAAAAAAAAAACAACGCGAAACAAAACTATCGAAGCACAAAAGGTTTAGTTAGATCTAACTCAGATCGGAGACGATCCGACCCCAAATCCGGCACCAGGGTTTGTCACCGCCGGTAACAAACACATTTTTTCTAAAAATTATATAGCTACTAATTTTAAACTAATTATTATTTTTAGATATTTTTAAATCAAATACAGATCAAATTTAAGTTAACTTTTTAGCTAATTTATTATAATATAAATTTATTTAAAATTTAGCTTTAACTTCAAACTATCTACTAATTTAAGTTAAGTTAAAATTAATTTAAGATTATATATACTAATAAAATTATTTTAAATTTTAAGATACAAAATTAAAATTTAAAACTAAATTGATTTTAATTTGTTTTATTTAAAAGTTTTTTGATATTCTTTTGAAGCAATAAAATTATAAAAAATATAATTATATAAATTAGATTTGTTTTTGTATATAAAAAATTTTAATTTGCTTTAGGGAAGTGTCATTTATCACCTGATTATTTTAGAATGGGGTTCCCTAACAAAGTATCATATACATTGGTATACAATTAATCAGTTGAAAATAAATGTAGCAAAAATGATTAGGACCTATAAAATTTTATCATGTAAGGGAGGAGAGAATATTTACTATTTACAAAAAATTAGGTGATACTGTAAATGATACTTCCTTTAATAAAGATAAAATAGAATTAGAGCTCTGACATTTATTACCTAATATTCATTTACTATAGAGCTCTACCCCTCCTCTCCAGGTAATATTTTTATTATCCAATTAAATTTTAGTATTATATTGAAGTAAGGTTTGGCTTTACCCCTCCACCCCCTAAAATATTATCTAATAAATGTTAACGTCCTTATTTTAAAAATCTATTTCAACAACATGTATATTTGAGGTCAAATTGTATTTTTTAATAAATATTTTATAGAATAAGTAGGTAAACTCTGCAAACTCCACAACTCTGCTATGTATTAAAATTATTATTTTTTTTTTTGTAGTCAAGGTTAGCCTCTTTGGCTTATCGCTTTTATTAGATATTAGAATCATGTGATGCCTTTTTAAAGGGCCCCCAGACAAGTACATTCTGACAAGAATATATTCTAACTATATCTGCATATTTTGGGTGCCTAATTAAGTATTCTACCTATGTGCTAGATGCTATACTAGATGCTATACCTATAACCCACTATTACTTGAAT